TATTATGTTTACTTTATAAATTATCACTTTATTTATACGTATATATGAAATTTATATATTTTCTATACCCAGATGAATAACCTGTATTCGAAACTCTACAGCCATTGCATACGTTGTGAACGATTAGACGAATTATATTTGGTAATTTAAACAGATTTATGAAAGTTTCTGAAAATTTTTAGCAATTGAATATTATTATAATTACTAATACAAAATTACATATTACAGGCAAACAGCATATTGATTCAGTGTAATGAAACCGAACTAACGTTGTCATTTTTTGGATGTTATCCTGTAACAAAACTAAATATCTTAAAGGTGAGTTTACGGAATTAAATATAACACGTGTAATATTTTATTTCCATTTATACATTTTGTTAAAACATTTACGAAACTTTACGAAAATTAGTTTTAAGTCGACTATTGTTAAGAACAAACACTGCTAAAAAGTTAATTTATATTTTGTAGATGTGCAGCTTTTTCCTTACTCAATTACTTGTCGTCGCACAATTTTTCTTATCAATAAATTATAAAGGTGAGTTTTTGCTATAGTTGCGAGATATTTAATTAATCTAAGTTTAATTTTCGAGAAATTACCAATGAATGTCATAAAAGTATTCAAGGTTAAAAATCATTTGATATATATTTTAATTAATGTTTTNTTACTCCTCCGTAAGAATAATACATTTGTAACAACGCTTAAAACGAACTGTACACTGTGAAAATATGCCATGTAAATATCAACTTTTTTTCTCTTCTTATTTTTTCGGTCTTTTATCCTCGCCAATAGCCGGATCAAAGTAAATACGAATGAAAGCTGTTCGGCCTTCTTAGTTAGGCAAAACGTACATAGTACTAAATGTATTATCATTGACGTTTTCACCCGTGTTAGATTGGCGTGAAGACCAGTAACTCATCTACTAATTCAAGAAAATATAAAAATATACAATAATAATAGTTAAAAATAAAATATAATAACAGATAGAGCATTTCATTTAATAAATAACTTTTACATTATTAATCTTAATAAATATATAAAATTTTATGTAGAGCCCTTTGTTACAAGATTTTGTTATAAAACTTTCTATGTGTTTAATTATTATGAACTGAAAAAAGTCTTTATTTTCAGGGCACTGAAAATGCTAAGAACAAGTAAAATCTACAGTAAGCGTAATCAAGCAAATGTCACTTTAATCTTTAAAAATATTTGATATCCACGACTCTCTTAATGAAACTTTTTGATAGAAAATAATGTAGAGATTTTTTGCTCTACTTCACTTTTATTGGCAAGAAAGTAAACTTTCGATATCAAACGGTATATTGTCTGATATTTAAAATTACAACTGTTAAAAGTATTATTACGTTATACGTAATGATAAAACGTAATAAGTAGAATAAATTTGACAAAAATCACTTTAAATATTTATAATTATATCAAATAAAGTTGCTTCGCAACCAAGAATTTTGCAAATCTCATTTTTTTTTTCATCGGATCAAGCACACAATGCCATGGTAATACACGTAATAATGTAAAGATTTTCGTTGTGTTCGAGCCTTAAACACGTAGAATGCACTCTGCTCTGTTGTTTACCATAAAAATTTCATATTGATATTAAAAATTGTCAAGCTGTCACACAGTAAAACACGCAAAATTATTTATTTCATTAATTAATACAGAGTGAAAAACAAAATAATAGACTACTGTATTCTGACCAGAGGATCGGCACCAGATTGGTGATGCCTGCGTTAGGACTGACACCACCGTATCCTGTAAGGCTGATACAGAAACCTTCGGCTGTTATCTCGATTGCGCCCGAACAGTCGCGTATGTAAACATTAGGAGTCCGAGATGAAGATAGACCGAGGAACAACGCGGTCAAAAGAAGTACACACTTCATTTCAGTTATAGGAAGAAAAATTACCCGTTTATTCACATAAATTATTTATACATATACATAGTATAATAGAGTTTTGTTACAGTTTTATAGCATTATAAAATCGACGCTCTCTAATAGCGTAACGTACTGGATAACATGCCTATAACATAACATAATCTATTGTATTTTATAGTAGTGGATGTCGGGTTTCTAATCGACAGAGAGAGTTTACATTATTACGTACTATGCTAAATATAATACCTTGATCGTTGACTGTACATCGTAGATCGCTCGTGGAGCGGGATCTTCGACAGTGGAGGTAATTCAAGTTCGTTAATTCGGCTTCTTGGATAAAAAAAGTTCAAATGTTCGAAGAATTGGCAGTCGAAAGGATCGGCGGTGGAACACAGTTACACTATACTTAAGAGAAAAAGCCGATCGGTGAACTCATGTTGTCGGTTGCGATATTCGTTTTTATATTTCGGGGGTCCTCCCATTGATTTTGATGCCTTCGGCAACGTTCAGTTTTTGGACCAATAGAGGAATTTACGATGAAAGTTCTCGGTGACTCATACATTCAGAAGATGTGTCACATTTGAAAAAGAACTAAATCAGGGGAAACATGCGATCACATCCTACCATTTATTATTAAGTGTTGGAAAAATTTTTCTTTATAGAATAAATGAAATTTAAGCGTTATTTATCTGTCTTATTAATTATAATATTATGAATATCGATTTTAAGAAAAATTCAAAATGCATTCATTAAAACATAGATAAATCAGTAACCAATTGCTCAACTTTTCCGGCAACATTTAAAATATTCGTGATACCATCTGTTATTATATTTTAATTTTTTAAATTTATTTTTAACTATTATAAAATGGCAAAACGCTTAATTTTAAGGGTTATAAAAATTGTAAATGCTAATAACCAGTAAAATCGTCATTAATTTAAATTCGATCCTACTTGACATACACACGACCCCGATTATCTCACCATTCTCTCGAATTTTAATCATTAAACTTTAACAGCAAAAATCTCCTGGATGCACAATTCCAAAATTCCGGAAAAGTCTTCCGAATTTCCGGAATTTCCTCAGCCAATTTTCAAACGGTGATCGTATCCATTAAATATCAGTGTAAACAGTTCAAGATCGGCCGAGTTCTGTGGTATTGAGATATTCTAAAAAGCAGATCACATTAACTAATTGTCTGTTGCAATTGTATTTTAAACTTTAGATTAATACTGAGGCTCACTTGAGTTATAAGGGCGGCATGATTCCGATGCGCTTTGTCTGAAGTCAAATAAAATACGTGAAACATGTATTTTTTTATTTCATTTTTATTTCATTTACATACCTATCACAGAGAATGCCTCTTAGCTTTTCGAATAAATTTGCATAACTTCTTGCAAATACTTTAGCGTCAAAATTTAAATGAAATAAATTTAGAGTAATCAAAATGGAATTTTTATAATACAAATGTAATTTAAATCGAAATGTTGAAAACTAAAAGGATTGAAACCAATCTTTCATTAAACGCAATACACTATTAGCAACAAAAACAATTATAATTCTGTTAGAAATTCTACCAATTATCGTATTCGATAGAGCACTGCTTAAAACGCCTTTACTTAGAGTAAAAACGTTTACATTTATCTGTCCATAAGGCATTTATTTATATCATTTTGTAATCCTTTTTCTATTCCAATTAAAATACTAGAATTACGTTTAATTTGTTTACTTTTAAAGTTATATTTTTTAAAATGATTTGATGATCATTAACGTTCATATTAGAGCAAAAATATCTTTTGACCATTCTAGTTTCACTCTAACATCTTCTCCGTTTAATAATAATTTCGGTTAATTTATGAAATATAAATGGAGACGTACTGTACATATAAATTTAATATCTGGCCTTGACTGCTCTTCTGAAATCGAGTAACTAATCCATTATTTTTAGTATTTTTAATCGGATCGACTTTATTCATATCTCCAGCAGTATATTTACAAAATAAAGCATTAGTTAAGTGACTTTCTTGCGTTCCTTTAGACGAAAATAGTAAAGTTTCAATTACTCCTCCGTAAGAATAATACATTTGTAACAACGCTTAAAACGAACTGTACACTGTGAAAATATGCCATGTAAATATCAACTTTTTTTCTCTTCTTATTTTTTCGGTCTTTTATCCTCGCCAATAGCCGGATCAAAGTAAATACGAATGAAAGCTGTTCGGCCTTCTTAGTTAGGCAAAACGTACATAGTACTAAATGTATTATCATTGACGTTTTCACCCGTGTTAGATTGGCGTGAAGACCAGTAACTCATCTACTAATTCAAGAAAATATAAAAATATACAATAATAATAGTTAAAAATAAAATATAATAACAGATAGAGCCTCTAAAATTTTAAATTTTGTCGAGGAAGCTGAGCAATTGGTTACTGGTTTATCAATTTTTTTATGAATGTATTTTGAATTTCTCTTCAATCGATATTATTAATATTGTAATTTACAAAACAGTGAAATAAAATTGAATTATTTTAATTCGCTTTAATGTGCGAATTTAATTTAATTAAATATGTAAAAATTTAATCTACTTTTATTGATTTTCTAAATTTCACGCCTGTTTCTTCGGTCACGAATGTTTTTCTATTATTCAAAACAATTCTTTTAATAAATTTAATCTAATAATAAAAGTACAGTAGTCTATTAAATTTTATTTCACGTTCTGTATCAGTCAATGAAATAAATAATTTTGCGTGTTTTACTGCGTAACGGCTTGACAAATACGATGTTGCATTTTAATATTAATATGAAATTTTTATTGTAAACAACACGCGTAATGCAGAGTGAATTCTTTCTGTTTAAGGCTCGAACACAACAAAAATATTTACATTATTACCATGACATTTCTATGTTTCATTCCATGAAAAAGAATGAGATTTGCAAAATTCCTCAAAACTTCACATAATTTCAAGTGACTGCCGATTGAGAATGATATTAAAATTGGTGGGAACTGTTACTAAACTGTAAGTGTACTTTATTTAATATAATTATAATTACATAATATACTTTTAACAGTTTTTTTAACATTATATAATAAGCCATTTGATATCGAATGTTTTCAAATGACATTTGCCTGGTTAAGCTTAATGACGATTTTACTGTATGTTAGCATTTTCAGTGTTTATGAAACTCATCTGTAGCCTGAAAAATAAAGAATTTATTCAGTTTATAATAATTAAAAACATAGAAAGTTTTATAACAAAATCTTGTAACAAAGGACTTATCATATAATTTTATATATTTATTTAGATTAATAATATAAAAGTTATTTATTAAATAAAATCTCACGATAGCCGGGAAAGTTACGCAACTCATTGGTAGATTTTCCCATCTGCATTTTATATTGTTTGTAGTACTTCTAAGCTTTTATTTTCATTTATTTCGTTTATGTGATAAATCGAAAAAAAAAAAAACATTCATTAAAATATATATCAAATGCTTTTACACCATGAATATTTTTATGACATTCATTAGTAATTCCTCGAATATTCCTCTTATATTGTATAGAAAACTCTTTCGATATATTACTCAGTGAGAATTTTTACACTCCGCAGAATGAAATACAGATGAACTGTGAGTCACATCTCAAAAAAAAATTAATTATTCGCATTTTCAACGAATTAAATAGTAACAGCAACTTATTAAACATGCCAGTAATTTGTGCTGTTTCCAATTATTTTTATAAAAAAAAGTGATTAGCACACTTATTTCGTATATAATTTATCGTCATCACTCGTCATATATCAAGTTATATTAATTAAATGTCTCGAAACTATAGCAAAACTCACCTTTATAATTGATTTGTAAATAAAAGTTGTAAGACCACAAGTAATTGAGTAAGGAAAAAGCTGCACATCTACAAAATAAAAATTAATTTTTACCACTTTTTCTTCTTAACAGTAGTCGACTTAACTAATTATCGTAAAGTTTCATAAAAATTTTAAGAAAATGTATAAATGGAAATAAAATATTACACGTGTTTCATTAAATTCCCCAAACCCACCTTTAAGATATTTAGTTTTGTTACAGGATAACATCCAAAAAATGACAACGTTAGTTCGGTTTCATTACAATGAATCAATGCGCTGTTCGCCTTAATACATAATTATGTATTAGTAATTAGAATAAAATTATATATTTAATTAAAATTTTTTAAATTGTGATAAATCTGTTTAAATTACCAGATACGCTTCTTCTGATCGTTTATAATGTATGCAATGGCTGTAGATTTTCGAATATAGGTTATGCATCTAGGTATAGAAAATATATAAATTTCATAAAAATGTATGAATTTTTCAAGTCAAAATAAAATTTATAAGGTAAGTATTTTATAATATAAATTTTGTAAAAAAAAAAAAGGAAACTGAAGTCAGTAGCAACAATTCTTTATTTCGGTTTAAAAAGAAAACAGAAATTTAATGACGTGGCTTCGACTTTCATGAAAATATGTGTTATGTATAAAAATGTACAATATAAATTGGATTGCTGTATAATAGATATTTACCTAAAACCTCTCTGTAATTCAAAATATTATGGTAGACGGACTCACAACATAAATTTGCTGTGAATCTGTCTATCGTCAACATGTTTACATGATGTTTTTTACGTGGTTTTTTTCTGTGAATTATAGATTATAATTTATGTATGCCACCATATATTTTAACATGATAATGTAATCCTGTGGTATTAGACTCTTTAATAGCTCTTCGAGCATGTACAATATACAGTAGACTCCCCTATAACGCAGGTTCCTATAATGGAGATTCCAATAACGTAGCGAAAAAATTGCGGCAGTATTTGTATAAAGACGCTAAAAGGGACTCGTAAAACGTCGTCCCCGACTTGTGTCGCGACAGGATTGGTCGAATCTGGACCAATAGTAGACGAGCAGCCGAACTACTTACACGCTACAGAGAGTTTAGGCGAGTAAGTTGACTTTACTGTCGTCTGTACAGTATTATATATAAATAAGGTACTGTATATATAATTATATATTAACTTAATTTATTTTAACTTTATTATAATTATATATATATTATTTCCGCCGTCCAGCGTCACACTACGGAGAGTTTAGGCAAGTAAGTTGAGTTCACTATCGTCTCTACAGTATGTAAATTAGGTACCGTAAGTCTAATACAGCACTGTAATTTTATACATTTGTTGTGAAAAAAACATTTCTTATTCAACGGCCATAAAAATTATTTATATTAATGATGTCTCCAAAGTTCAACGAATTTTACGCAGTAAAATAACTTATCAGAAATCGCGCCCGCCGTTCGGTGCGCTGCTCCGCGACGAAAACAAGCTTAGGCAATGGCGACGTAGAACGGTGCACAGTCGGTAAGTAATCCTACAAATTTTTGTTTGTAGAATAGTTTATACGGATTATTCCCAAAAAATTATACGTGTTTTTGAAATGTTGAGTTGAGTTAGTCTAGAATTGTTAATTTTATGGAAAAAAACCTTTCAAACAGCCGTAGTCCGTAAACTTCACACGTGTCGGGCTGTGATTGGCTCATGTATTTAAGGATTCCTACTACGCGAAATTCGTATAACGTGGAACGTATCTACGTGTTATAGGGGGGTCTACTGTACTTACTGAGTGCTTTAGAGGCTGATTGATATATAACACGTGTTGGTATTACGGATGTGTTGTTCTCTCTTGCACAATTTTATATGCTTAAGACACTGAGGAGGGGTTAAGATATATTGTACCAACCTGAAATGCATATGTAATTTAATTTAAGAATAAAATCATAGTTCCTAACCGAAAATTTGCTGTGAGTTCGTCTACCATAATTTTTTGGATTACAGAGACGTTTTACATAGATATATAAAAATGTATATACAGTAGAGCGTCCTTTATCCGAAAGTTCGTTATCCGAAACTTCGGTTATCCGAAAGAAGTCCAGTCGGCAAATTTAAGTTTTCGCTAGTGCTGTGGCGCTGCAGTCTTTGGCTATATCTTGGGCTACTCTAATATTTTTTTGTTGATGTGCGTGTTTTAGTTGGCAGCACTGGCACTTTTGTGTGGTGTTTTTCTCAGGACTCTGTGTCATGCTGAATAGAACGTTTTTAATACTAGATTAACTTCTAAAGTATAATTTTTTTTGTTTTTATATTTTTCAATATATTTATTTTGTTTGTAAAAAATAAATAAATAATGTTTAACGTTACAATAGCAACGATTATTATTTTAAAAAGTTTACGTTAGGGTTAACATCGACGAAAATTCAACGCGAATCGACACGCAANAGTATGTAAATTAGGTACCGTAAGTCTAATACAGCACTGTAATTTTCTACATTTGTTGTGAAAAAAACATTTCTTATTCAACGGCCATAAAAATTATTTATATTAATGATGTCTCCAAAGTTCAACGAATTTTACGCAGTAAAATAACTTATCGGAAATCGCGCCCGCCGTTCGGTGCGCTGCTCCGCGACGAAAACAAGCTTAGGCAATGGCGACGTAGAACGGTGCACAGTCGGTAAGTAATCCTACAAATTTTTGTTTGTAGAATAGTTTATACGGATTATTCCCAAAAAATTATACGTGTTTTTGAAATGTTGAGTTGAGTTAGTCTAGAATTGTTAATTTTATGGAAAAAAACCTTTCAAACAGCCGTAGTCCGTAAACTTCACACGTGTCGGGCTGTGATTGGCTCATGTATTTAAGGATTCCTACTACGCGAAATTCGTATAACGTGGAACGTATCTACGTGTTATAGGGGGGTCTACTGTACTTACTGAGTGCTTTAGAGGCTGATTGATATATAACACGTGTTGGTATTACGGATGTGTTGTTCTCTCTTGCACAATTTTATATGCTTAAGACACTGAGGAGGGGTTAAGATATATTGTACCAACCTGAAATGCATATGTAATTTAATTTAAGAATAAAATCATAGTTCCTAACCGAAAATTTGCTGTGAGTTCGTCTACCATAATTTTTTGGATTACAGAGACGTTTTACATAGATATATAAAAATGTATATACAGTAGAGCGTCCTTTATCCGAAAGTTCGTTATCCGAAACTTCGGTTATCCGAAAGAAGTCCAGTCGGCAAATTTAAGTTTTCGCTAGTGCTGTGGCGCTGCAGTCTTTGGCTATATCTTGGGCTACTCTAATATTTTTTTGTTGATGTGCGTGTTTTAGTTGGCAGCACTGGCACTTTTGTGTGGTGTTTTTCTCAGGACTCTGTGTCATGCTGAATAGAACGTTTTTAATACTAGATTAACTTCTAAAGTATAATTTTTTTTGTTTTTATATTTTTCAATATATTTATTTTGTTTGTAAAAAATAAATAAATAATGTTTAACGTTACAATAGCAACGATTATTATTTTAAAAAGTTTACGTTAGGGTTAACATCGACGAAAATTCAACGCGAATCGACACGCAACGGAGAAAAATTTCAACACGGGATAGTTTAATATATTTGTTCGTACATAATCGGTTATCTGAAAAATAACTTATCTGAACAACCCCAGTCCTCAATTGATTCGGATAAACGACGCTCTACTGTACAGTATGTTATTATCAATCTATTACAGCATATATTATCCATTTTCACTAGTAATATGGTAAATACTAGAAATGAAAATTGGGAAATGTATTTTAAACGTAACGAAGTTAATGAAAAGTAGTAGTTTGAGTAGAGTGAGATAAAAATTTTACTTATAAAATGTTTGTAGATATTATTGTAAACAAAATTAAGTACAGTAGACTTTCTCATAACCGAGCTAATATAAACGGATGTGATTCGAATACAAGAAATATTTCGAGTAATGAACATGACAGAATAAGACTGTAACTTATATGTGAATTGTATATATGAACTAGCAGATAGGCCAAAAACTAACGATAGCGAAGATTAAGATTATTATGTTATAGTCAATCTTACCCGTTTTCAAAGAATGCAAGAGTTAGGCCTTCTGTTTCCAGACTAATTAGAAAATTTTTAGATGAGTTAAAAATGTTCAATTTCTTGCAAAAACGAAAATAAACTGCATTTGCCCTGTAAATCTTGCCCGTCACTTTATCTTAACACTTTCCAGCGGGGAAAAGTGTTAACAACATCACCCCCTCTAGTGGAATTTCGAAAAAAATTTTTTTAGTGTATATTCTCGTGACTTACCAAATCAAAACGCAAAAAACTGCATCTGCACCTGTAAATCATAACCTTTCTCATAACACTTCCATTCTTAACACTTCCATTGTTGATACTTTCATTGTTAACATTTTTATTGTTACGTAACACTTCCATTGTCGAAGCCTTCATGCTGTCCCTCTCCCCCGGGCGAGAATTTCCAAAATTTTTTCTTAGTTTGCGTTCTCGTGAAGTACCCTAACAGTGTATTAAATTTCAACTTTCAACTCCTAACCCTTTGGGCTTTGCGCTGATTATTATTATTATTATTATTATGTTTAGTGAATTATACTCGGTTCACACCGGTTGCTGTGCACTATGCCGGACCAGAGTTAAGGCATAGCAACCAAAAACAAAACTAAAATTAAATAAGTGTGTCAGTGTCTGTATTCAGGAATTTCCTAACAATGTGGCATGTATTCAATATATTGGCCTTCTGTAGTGTTATGTATGTATTTCTATTCAATTCTAATGTTCCCAGGCTTTTGTGTAGTGCGTATGGTATCACACCTGTACAGGAGAGAACGACAGGTACAATAAGCAATTTATCCATCCTCCACAGATGCCTTATTTCCTGGGCGAGTTCTGTGTACTTGCTAATTTTTTCAGTGCATGTGTTTCGTACATTGTGAGTGTTTGAAATGGCTATGTCTATAACGTATGTTATTTTATTGTGTTTGTCAATGAGTGTGATGTCTGGTCTGTTATAGTAAATTGTTTTATCTGTGATTAAGGCTCTGTCTTAGTACCTTTTGTGCGTGTTGTTTTCTGTCTGTGGAATATACTTGTAGTATGGTTCGTGGATGTCTACCAGTTTGTGTTACTTTGCAAGCTCTTGGTGTACTATATTTGGTACTTGATTATTATTATTATCAACCCATCTCTATTATATATATAATGTGTATTTTGGACTTGACGTTTATTTTTACAATTACACTAATACAGTTAATTAAACACAAATATTCTATAAACAATTCAATTAATTTCTGAAATTGTTACCTTTAATGTAAATTAAAATTAAATTAAAATTAAATACTTACGTATGTCGAAATGCTGGATAAATAATACAAATATAGTAGAACTCCGATTGTTATTGATAGTAACAATATTCCTAAAGTATATTTTACAAATACTTCATCAGAATTAATCACAAGATTTCCCAATGAAAATTCAGCAAAAATTACTATCAGAGCTAAAGAAATGGAGTAGTCATTTTGAATATCATTACAAAATTTGAAACTGTCTTTGCTATTCTGCAAACATTGCCAAATGATTTTTAAGGAAATTTCATTTTTTTTTTCTATCAAGTAAATTATTGTAGATAATTGCATCTTTTGTAATTCACATAAGAGAATCAGAAAAATTATCTGAGCCAAGTTATACAATCCCATTAACGAATGGAATATTGTACTTGATATCATACAAATGGCAAATGTTATAGACCATTTATAACTGATGTAAGGCAAAAATACGTAACGATATATCGCATTCATATTCAATCCGATTGACGCACTTATAGTAATCCAAATACATGTTAACATATCCTGAAGTTTTATGAACTTTTTTAGATGAAAAACGACAAACGTTGATTCGTTCATAATTTCTATCCACAATTTTCGAGTTTTCAGGTAGAGCAAAATATATTTTTGTGAGTTCCAAGTTATCAACGTTTTTATCATAAATAGTGTCAATAGTAGGATCATTACTCTCAGAAGAAACACGTTTTTTCCATACGCTTTGCAGATGTCACATAGATTCAATGCTAATTCTTCATCTTTTGTCAATAATATAATTACATATTTGACTGTCTGAAGAAAGAAGAATGTCTTAAGACACACTCTGTAGAATTTCTTAAATGATCGCCAATTTTCGTTGCTGTTAGAAATATCGATTGCAAGTATTTTGAATAGGATAAAAGTTTGTGAAAATACAATATCTGGATCTATTCTATTGTTATTCATACTGTAAAAGTTATCAAGACCGTTCGTCTATTTTTCTTCGTGTATGCTCTAGAACTTTCACTCAGCAACGATAAATGTATTGAAATATCGCATTAGTCTTTCCAAAACGATCGATATATATCCATTAAGAAATAATTTCAAAACCTCCTTCCATTAATGCATTATTGTCATTATAATTTCTTATTCCAACATTATACCAATCGATTTGAAGCTAATGGTTTATAAGTTAATGTGGAATTTTTCCATAATATTAACAGAAAGTAATAAAGCAAATATTTTATAGGGAACTAAGCATGTAAAATTAATATATCAAAATTTTACTCGTGTTTAATGGAATACTTCGATAAAAGTACTTTTAAAAATTTTTTGTATAATATCAGCTATCTGTCTGTTTTAAAGTAAGTTCTAAACGAAATGAGAGATAATGTACAGTGAACAAATACTCCGAAAGTAGGCTATATGGCATTACGAATTTTATTAATCTCATTTGTTTTCCATTTATTGTCAATTAAAATACTATTTAATTTTAGTTATATATTAAATAAAAAGTTTTTAGGGGGACCAGGCGAATATATCAACACCAATCCCTTCTCATCCGTTGCCCATTCTAAGCCCAGTCGAACTGGTAATAGACTGAATAATAAGCTTTGAATTTTTACTTGTCAGAAACAGCAAAAAACGAATATAATTGTGTCTGCAATCCAGGATCTCCCAGCATACTTTAGGTTAAAGTCACTCTTATCCTTCTCGTCTATCCCGCAACAACGTTGATTTAGTCATAAAAATTCTCATATGATATAGAATGTCTGTTAATTTAGTTCATAATATATCTTCGCGATTTCTTTATTACGAGACGATTTTAAATTTAAGAAATTTAATACAAGAAAATTATTTTCAATAGACGACGTTCTCTCGAAATTATTTATAATTATCAACGAGATAATTGAGTACAGTAATTATTATTCTTTACCGAATTAAATGAGTGTTTAGCAGTGATTTCGAAACTTTCGGTTCTCATAAAGTTATACTCAATTCCCTATTCGTACCTCAACACCTCCTAACACATTTTTCCTTGTGTGAGAATGACTTGAAAATACAGTATTATTAGAAGATTTTTACTGTAATTTAAACTTCAATGGAGCGAGTTTTATTATTCATAGTGATACAGATATTCAGAATGATAAGTTCTGTTCGAAAAAGGAGGTTACGAAATTTCGACAATCTGGGACAATGGGTGTAGGGGAGTGTGAAAGCCAAAATTAAATGAAAATTTATCAGTAAAAGAAGGATTCTTGAAAAAATTATTATAATATTTTGTTGTTCAAATCCGGATAATTTTTGAAAAACATTATTGATTAAATCGGCGATTAAACTATTTCTCATGAACTTAGGTAATTGAACGGATTAGAGCTCTTAGGTACTGTACATAAAGCACATTTCACAATGCATTTTAAAGTGTTATAAAGCACTTTACACGTTGTATGTTTGCACTTTGAAGCACCATGAAAACTTACACGTTGCACATTGAACTTTGGAGCACCATATAACACATTGTAGTACTCGTTGTAGCATATTTTACTAATAGCACCACACAACATATTAAAGCATATAACACACTTAATCACGTTGCACTGAAAATCTTTGCACATTGAATCACTATAAAGCATTAGAAGCACCATAAAACACAAGAGACACCACAGAAAACTAGAAGCACTATAAAACATATAAAACAATAAAACATTAAGCACGTTGTATATTAAAGCACCAAAACACACGAAGCAAGTTGTACTTGTAGCACCATAAAACACTAATAACACCATACATCACAAGAGCACCAGAAGCACATAAAAGCATGCTGAAACACTTTTAAAACACTGCGTGGTTGAAACATTGTGACACACTATTGACGGAAAGCACTTTGATGCATTAGCAATTAACATTTAGCAATGCACATTTAAGCACTACAAAACACTTTAAACACATTGAAGCATTAAAAAACATTGAAACAAATTGAAGCTCCTACGAAGGACCTTGAAGCACTTAAATGCCCATAGAAGTATGCTGATTACATTCTATACATTGAAATTCTCTGAAGTATGCTCGACACAAGAGACAGTTAAAGCACAATGAATTTAGTTCAAGAAAGCTGAGAACAAGTCTATTGAAGAGGCATATTGAAATTATTATAAGCAGCACAGCAGAATCACCACTACAAACTTATATCCCATATAAATCCGCTTTAGTGGGCAGAGACTGTAGAGCTCAACTCCGTCAAGGTCTCACATCGAAGAAGGTCAACATTATCACTGATAATGTTGGGCCCTTCCTTGATAAGCAAACTGTTGAAGACACACTGCCAGAACTTAAACATAGTTATTTCTCATAATGGATTAAATGTCATAATGCCCAAAGTTGAAATACAGGCATTGGTATTTTCAATAGGGGTTAAATGTCATAATGCACAAGTCAACAAAATATAGGATTTCAAAACAGTCACAAAGGCAATGGATAACTCGGTCTACATTCAGTTGTAGCCCCTGTGAGATCTGAAAGGCCCCCGGGTCTAAAATAGTAATTTTATTAATAATGTTAATATTTTGTTATAAAATATTCTTTCGTTTGGATGAGAAAAAATAACGTTTTAGAGTGGAAAAAATAGATAACAGATGCTACTTCCTTCTAGGGAAGTTAGAACATCCTCTGTTTTCCCTTTATCTGCGAAAAATCTCGCTTTGATGGGAAATGTTTACCCCTCACATATTCCCCTTTCGTCCGTTCCCACGGAAGAATCTTTGCATGATGATTGGTCGCCAATCGTCAGATATAGCGAAAATTTATCAGAATTCGGGGAGTTCATCGACAGACCTGGAAGAGTCAGGACTCCACACATATTTTTCCTGATGGCCAACGCCCTTAGACGAGTCACGTAGAATAAATCCAGTTATCGCTTAAAAGAGATACTTTGATTTTGTGCACATTTCGACCTCCTATGGAAAGAAGTTTGAGAACTTTATAAAGAAAGTGCCTTTGCCAACCGATGAAGAAGACGAAAGACAACTAAACCAGGTTGTATGTTTAATAAC